TTAATCACTAAGCTACCCCACCGCTCAGATGATGCTGAGGGACATACAGATGGATTGGCAATGCCATCTTTATCTGTTAATAGCTTATCCTTGAAGATGGCGATGTTGATGTATTCGTCTGGATCGCCCAGTATGTTCCATCTCGTATTTCCCTCTCATAACCTATCTTTGGTTGCTTCGGATGATTTCCACTTTCGGATTCGAGGTATTTTGTGTCTGAATGTACAGATTGGAGCTCATTGATTTATGTCAAATCAAATTACTCCATAAATGTTTTAAGCGGTTATTGATAACATAAGTAAATATTCTACCACAATTGTTCATCACTGTGATAGTTCGGTAAACTACCTTTCTCGTGATCATTGTTCTGGAAAGTTTCAGATTTTAAAGATACAGTTAAACAATGTACTTCAATATGGAACATGAATGTCAATATTGTTTTCAAGCATTTCAGATGCAGTAATAGTTTTACCGGTATATTTTCAATTTTAAACAAGGCAATGCCATTAAACAATATACCATTGTAGAACAGCTTCTAACTGTTGACAGAAAAATAGAAACGAGGCATTGAGCTGCGAGGTGAAAACTGCTTTAAGTGGACAGACAAAACAATATTTTACAAATGACAGATGATTCGCGCCATGGACACTTTCCCCAATTTATATACAACTTTCATCCGTTTCCCATGTGTTATCAAGCCCACATGGTAAATCACAAGTCCTATGGAAATGATCACAATGTTCTTATCAATACTTTAAAAGAAAAAAAAATCATAAATATCAGAAGAACTCAAACAATAATCCATTAAACTTGCATCAACATTTGCAAAACACGTAAGAGAGCCTTTAGATTCCGGGGCGATATGCCAATTTAGATTTAAGTACCACAGATGCCTAACATCTATCAATTTTTCACCAAGTTTATTGATTTCATTGTTCCTTCAGTTCTTCCGTGATAGTATCTATGTCATGGAGCACTGAAATATATTCTTTCCGATCCGTTACAACGCAGACAGCTAATAATAACTTGCCAGTTCTTGAATTATGAATTCTTAACTGAACAGAACGTCAGCAACATCATTGATGTTACGCTTATCTTTAACTGTAGATAACGTTTCAGGATGAACTTAAACAGAGACCACTAAAATATCAGGCTTGAATGAAGTTGGAATTATATATCAGAAAGTCACTAAAGTTAGTGTAACCCTGTGTAGTGTCATGTGACTGTATCTCTGATCAAAACAATTATACCACATCTATCAATGTAATCGCGGCAATTGGGGAAACATAATACTGGAAATAGAGTTAAACTGAAAGGCATTCACTTCCTGTTCTTTACAGATATTTCAAGATACTACAAAACCAATAGTATCATAATAAGTACACAATTTCTTGTAATGTGAAAGTTTTGATTGCAGTCCTAATTATAATCCATGTTAGAAGGGAGGTAACTCTGGTGAGCCACAACGCTATGGTTCAATTACCGTCCAATTCTTGATCCTGAATTCTCGTGTGTATATGAATGCTTAAAGTTCTCTTACACGCATCGTTTCAGTGTCACAAAGATCCCATGATATACCTGTGAGAATAGCGTTTCGTATCGGAGGCGACTTGTGGGATATTCCAAAATGTAACTGATCGCTTCAGTGATTGCCAAATCCATCCAATGGGGCGTGTGCTCACACAAGTGATGATTCCTGGCCCAGCATTCCCTGGGGGTTTTTCCTTTGGTTGAAGTTTGTCCAACTAGTCGGAAGTTCCTGCAGAACAGAAACACATACACGTGACTCTGTTAGAAGCACACTCAAAGGAATACGTCTATGTGGAAGAGCTCATACATATTCTTTTGGACATAAATTATTAATGGGTGAATCTGTTGTATATTACTATGTTGGAATAACTGCATTACCTCTCGTCTCTGCCTTCGGGATGCCGAAGTAGACTAGGTGACAGTAACCAGTGATGACCAAATCAATCAGTGGTCAAGATTTGTGTCTTGGTCAACTTGTTTCATTTTGATTATTGTGAGGGGTCAAATAGAAGTCACTGTTTTGTCTGGTCTTGGACTATTTGCTACATAGCTGAATAGTACATCCCAGAAAGCTAACAATAGGTTTTGACTATCGCCGCCTATCACACTTATCAGGAATACTGGTGACAAAGGACGAAAACGTATTTTAAAAAATGTGGAGTATCGAACTTCATCAACTGGAGGTTATTCATCTTTGAGAATTTAGGACTGACAATAACATTGAGGAGGGCATTTAAATCTCGCTAATAGTTTGGATGGGGTGTGAACATATTAGAACAACATACTTATCCCCCGCAAATACGAAGTTGCGGGGGATATAGAAACGAGTTCCGTCCGTCCGTCCGTCCGTCCATCCGTGCGTCCGTGTGTCAGTCACACTTTGTCCGAAGCAGATCTCTTACCCAAGCTTCGTACACATGTCAACCATGATCCAAAGATGTGCCTTTTGGGAGTTAGACCCAGATATGATTTTGATCTTTTGCTGTTTCCATGGAAACGTGACTTAGGCTGTGACTATGAGGATGTCATCTTGTTGCATTTCCATGGTAACAAGTTAGGCTTCAACTGAATTTGGTGGTAGTGCTCCTTTCTGAAGCAGATCTTAAAAACCTTTCAATATTTTGCTTCCACTTTGCTGTATACACTCCAAAACATTTGACATAATCATAACTAGTAGACATATTCATAAAGAGTATTTTGCCGTTGCGGGGGATATTGATGACTTTGTCTTCTTGTGAAATATTATGTTCCGAATGTAAGACATAAGCTCGAGACAACTGCCTGCTAGAACATGCACGTGCTTTTTGTAACCCAACTTCCCGTGGGCTTTACCACTGGTTGATGTCAGTCCACATACTAGATCTTTACTGCGCAGAACATAGACATGTACACGTGACTCGGTATCACCACAAACGGAATGCGTTTTATTTCAAATTCGTGCTATCGGACATTAAATTTTAATGATATAATCTATTCTTTGCTGCAGTATTTATATAGCTGTATTATTTTGGGAATTCTGGGATGAAGTGTGCAACCATCAGCCAGTGACTGAATGGGTCAGTGATCAGATTGTTCGCCTTGTTCTTGTGAGACATCTTATGGTGAGGCGTCAGGGAATATTCGTCATTATTTTGTCTTGAGTGGACTATTCCACATATAGGGCATCCATAAATAGTAAACAATCGATCTTGAATACCGCCGGTTAGCCTTGCGTCTAAGGAATATTGCTGACAATGGAGAAGAGAGAAGAAAAACAATCAGTCTGGAACACCGACCTCATGAACCAGTGGCGATTTGGTTTTACAAAGTAGTCTCACTGCCACACACGCAAATAATTGTCGCACGTACATTTTACTTAAAGCAATTGCTATTATTGATTGTATTGTTTATCATCACATCAGAGAACACCTTATCAACAGTTAAAATCAGGCTGGTAATCAGTGTCATGTTCCCACAGTTATTTCAGTTTTGACCAACATTTGTTTAATCTCATCAGACACCACCACAGACTTTTCAAGAAGTTAGAAAGACGAGATTGCCCTGAGCGCATGTGCAACTATCTATCTACGTCCCTTTCTCGTATTGTCATGCTGGTTGTACCTAAGTGTTCAGTTATTTAAGTAAGAAAAGAAGATAAAAAACGAGTGTCCAAGTCGCATTTGGTCTTTATCTGGTATTTTTGCAAATACTTCTGTTCTTTGTCTTTATCTATCTGATTCCAATCAATGCACAGATCAGATGTCATGCCGTACAATCACTGGTTCCGAGTGTTTGATAATGTGAGCACTTTAGTTTCAAGAACCTTCGCATCTTGCACTCGGACGGTAGTTCAGGATGGTCGACGGAAGACAAACCTCAGAAGTAAAGTTAGTAGACGTCAACCATGTTAACTTCAGATTGGTTGCAATAGGTCGAAAAGGTACATGTTGCTGGTATGCACCTGACCTGAAAGCACACCGGGGCATCATGGACAGTGAGCATCGCGATGTTTAAGTATTTTTCCTTTTCATACACATGCTGGAAGGCTGACGGAGATTCCTTATCACCGACGTAGAAAATTTCTCAAGCGGTGCGACCTGACCACGACCTGGCCATTTGTGTGGATGGTCTGAGCCGGGTTGACCACGTCAGTTAGGTTCTGTAGGTGGAGGAATAGCACCGTGTGCCAGTTATCAACATAGATGTACATTTAGAGTGGAAAAGAAACCTCTAATCTAAGCATTATGCATGTCTATGCAGTTTGGCACAGAGCATGTAAATTCTTTTAAAAATATCACCGCGACTTAACATAGATCATGTTCAAACTAATATCAGTGCCATAACTTACAAATGGCATGCATAAGACTAATATCATGACATCACCACGCTTGTATTATGTATATCCTTCTGAAAACAAAGTTAGCCCTACTGTTTATGTCTCAAAATAATATTGTTATAAACAGCCTTGCTAAATATATATTTTTAGCTATGCGAAAACGTTCTTGTGTTCACATCTCTGTATACAATGAGCCTATGTATCCTTTTCGTCACTTTTATGGCGCTTCATGTCATATCTTAAACTTTCTGATATGTATGTGTATAATGGACCGGTGGGGCCCATACTGAATAACTGAATAAACACATAACATCAGTACTAATCACATGACTATATTTAGTTGCCAAAGTATAACAAAGATCAATAACCATCAAACAGATTGAAAACACGCAGGCAGTTATCTTAATTTTTAATACGAAGTATCCCTAGAGCCATACCCACTCATCAACACTAGCTATCCCGCGGATTGGTAGAACACTGAGAGATCACCAAGCGTGAAACAGTAACCGGCTACAAATCACCCATGACATACAACTTCAGTATGAACAAAAGTAACTAAAAAGTAATTAACCAAGGAGTCACGTGACAGTGTCACGTGCATTGCACGGGACTCATTCGAAAGAGAACGTCACCGTCAGGACAACAGGGACTTTCCAATACCAATCCATAATGCACGTGTTTGTTACGGATGCATACTGAAGGAACCAATATACTTTGATCATTCGTTCAAACTGCTTAGCCCACAACCGAAGATGAGAGGAGGAGATTTGCTACTTCTGCAACTTCTGCTTTTACCAACTCTTGCTTTAGCTGAAACATGTGGCCCTTTTCATGCAAAGGCTGTTGATGCTTATAATGACAAGAAAATTCCCCAGTCGGAAATGTGGACAGTAAACAACCTGACCAAAGCAGAATGTATGTTTGAGTGTATAAAGGAAACGTATTGCGTCAGTTTCCACTTCAGTTCTTCGGGACCAGTTTGCGTGGCTCTACGGGAACGGTTTGAGGGATCCAGCGTTGCCTCCACGAACGCCCTTGGTTATCAGCTCTATCAAACCAATAAACGTACGTAACATTTTGGGGCAATCGAACTGATTTTCATCAGTAATTCTTATAATGATATCTCCCTGATATATTTTGTGGATCCAGTTCAATGTAAGTAACCACCACTTTGTTGTGAGGCATTGTTCTTGTCCGTAATCTACATGGGACATATCATACACAGTTATTGTCTTCGGCTTCACCACGATGCCATGTTAGAAATCTTCATATTGTGTTCTCTGGCATCAGTACTGCGATCCTCACCTACAGTGTGTTCGCTCCTTTCCTTCCTAGCGCATTCCTTTGCACTGATATTTAGGTCCACTGGACATGAGACGCAAGTTGTAGTATGAGTACTTCCAATGTCGCAATGTTTTGGTGTGTGAAATGTTTTATATGAAGTTCAATAACGATGGATCCTAAACTGTGCTATTGTTTGAAATAACAAGTCCTGATAACATAGCTTCTGTGAGCTTTAAAACAGTGACGTCGATCGATACCGTTCGTCTCCCACGACAGTCATGAGAAAACGATTTGCGTCCTTCACCGCGGCAGAAATAGGAGAGAAACGGATGAAATCGGTTCCGGAAAACAGAGAAAAACATCCGAGACATACAAACGTTGCACGGCTTTATACCAGGTAGTCCGGATCTTGCGGCATGTTTGAATCCATATTCACATTGGCCTCAGAAAATACAGATTGATCGCACATTACCAGGCACATTTGTCTTCATATAAGGTCATGGCAACTGAATTCAACTATCATATATATGTGATTAAATCTGTCTGTTTCATTCATTTCAATGTTTTGCATTAAAAACGTGTGCTCTCGGCCTGCAGTATCTCATGATATAACACACCCATCTCATCTTCACTCGTAATTCATCAGTTACCACTCTTTAAAACTGGCCGTTGTGATACAGTTGGAATCTGGGGCAGAGGGAATATTGCTAAAAGTGGCGTAAAACTAAACTCACTCACTCCGTTGGAATCTTGATCAGCGTGGCAGAGTTGATTACGTCGTCACTAACATTAATTAAATTAAATAGCTTAAATCAAATGTTCGTACGAGACCTTGTGTGTAAGAAGATGTTTTTCTTACATTTCAGCTTTGGCCAAGGTAGGGTCAGACTGTGAGCTGGATGTGGACTGTGCGTCTATCCCTAACTCCCATTGTAACGTCGGGGTCTGCAGGTGTGACGTGGGGTACGGGATGTACGGAGACGTCTGTCGCACTCTCGCAGGTACGTTGATTGAATTTGGGTCACGTAAGTTCATCGCTCCTCATTGAATGAGTGAGTTTGTGTGTGAATGTTTTCGTGGGTGAATGTCTGCGTGAAGAAATGGCGGCATGGGTGAGTCTTATACCCCATTTCATTGGGCACCGGTCAAGCCCGACTTAATTTATTTTTTTTTCGAAATCGGGGAAAATCTTGAATTGACCTGTAATTGAACGGCAGAAGTGGTTAATTGATCTTTAGATATAGGCAATGGTCTGGAATAGTGAGTGAGTTATTATTTATCGTCACATCGGCAATATTTCAGCCATATCTTGACGAGAACACTTGACATTAAAATAGAATATATATAGATAGTATAAAAAACCTGCCGACAAAAGACAGTATCAGGGTATCACAGATATACATGTAAAACTAGTAATTGAATCTAAAACATTTTAACTTTAGGGGACAACACAATATAAACATAGGTTATAGATCACCAACAACTGAAGGTAGATCACCATACGAGGATCCATGGGGACTTACAGTACTTCTGCTACCTGCTTGGGCCGGTCTGGAATAGATCTCTATTATCGGGGAGAGCGGGAGCAATCTTTGAACCGGTTCAAAACTTGTCACGATCTAAGAAACTCGGCGGTTGATCGAGAACTAAACGGAGACAGCGTGAGTTCATTGGAAGTCAGTCGTGTGTTGATCGGATGCAGCGGGAACGCATCGGTAATGTATCGTGCAAACAGCGGGCATATTCTGAGGGGAAAATCATTAAAGTGTGGTGGCAATGAGTCAGGTCATTAAACATTGGTACCACTTAGTGAGTTCCAGTATTATCTTTAGGGGCATTTAGAAGTGTGTGTAAATAACACGATTTATGGATTTCAACGCCTACTTAATTATAAGTACAACGTTTCGGTGCAGGCTCTAGCACAAGGTTCTAGCTTGATAAAGGTTGTACCACATGCACCGAAACATCGTTCTTATTAACAAATATATGTTGTAAGGCCTCCATTCCCTGGGATGATATGATCAACATCCTCCTGATCTAGGTCGGCGTCATGCACACCTGGATAGCTTATCCTAATGATGTTATGTAAACACACTGCTGCCTCAACAATGCCCCGCACTACGTATGGACCTGTTGCAAAGTTGTTAGGAGCGCCTGCCACCTGTTTGCTAGAATTCCAAAGGCATTTTCAACTACCTGTAGTTGGTGATCAGCTCCTGCTCAAAGAGTCCCCTCCTCGAGTAAGGTTTCAGTAAATACGTTCAAAGTGCAAATGCGTCGTCAGCCAGGATGAAGTAGGGTGTGTCATGGTCATCATTGGGAAGTGCCTTGGGCATGCACTAGTTGCGTGGATATGTGCGCTATATAAATATCCTATAATGATAATAATAAAGTGGATCAGCAAGAGGGAAACCAATTGAGTTGTCCTCAAAGCATTCCTTGAGTTCAGAATTGTTGAAGATCTAGGCATCAGACATATGCCCCAGGCCTCCCACGTCAATCCACATGAATATGTAATGTGCGTCGACCAGTTCAAGGAGGACAATCGAGAAGAAGCCCTTGTAGTTATGATATAAGGATCCTGATCTTGGAGGTTTACGTATGACAACATGCTTGCCATCAAGGGCCCCCAATGGCATGAGGCATGTTCCAAATTGAGTTCAAAGTCTAAGCTCACTCTTAGCCATTCCTCAGATGTAACAGGGCAGTTGATCACCTCATCTTTGCAGTGTTCCACTATAGCACGACACACATCAGGCAGGAACTGTGCAACGGTGTGCCTGGGGACTCTGAAATCATAGGAGAGGGTGGGGTACTTATCCCCAGACGTCAGGTGCCTGAGGGTGACTGCCAGCTTCAGTCCTGGTTCAGGGCTTTCTTCTTCTTTTTCGTCTTCTTCTTCTTCTTCTCAAGTTCAACATTCGTAGCAACTGTATCATCATTTGGCTCTGGTTCAGTTGAAACTGGTGCTGGAAGATGAGCAATAGTTTGAAAGCTTGGGGGTCCATGTTTTCAAATGCAGCTGTGAATGGAGAAATGAAGAGCGGCGGCGATCAGGGAATTTTATATCCAAATTTGCAGGAAAATTAGCCGATTTTATCGTGACATCATCGAATATTAATCGGGAGTAGAGCGGATAAAGCGTGAATAGAATGGCAACGGATCGCCATGGGCGTATGTCCAACGTCATCGGATCGGCAGGGATCGGATGTTTATCTTCACTGCAGTGGTCTAGAACGTGATGAGAACGTGATCAGGGCGTCACCTGAGCGTGTTGAACAGGGGAAATTTGGGACATGTTCTCAGTCAGATTGGCCGTTCAGATCGTGCCTAGAATAGCTGCACATCGTATCATGGTCGCATAAAGCGGACGTTGATTGTATGTTCAGCGTAGATCAAGCGTAATTGCATACATCTTGGGATATTTTTCCACGAGTGAGCCCGCTCGAGCGTGTAAACTGAGGTCAGCATAGATCTTGATGGTCGCCGACCAGTGAAATGGGGGTATAAGGCTTGCATACCAACCTCACAAAAAACGTTTTCTGAAGCCCGAAATAAACAAACTTAAAGACAGCAACTTCTGTATTATGAGAGTGTTTCGATACACATTCTTGTACCGTTGTCAAACAGGAAGGCAACCTGAAGTGGAGGCACAGTATATATTGAGTGCAGTAACGAAAACAAGATATTAACGTAACTGGGGAGGCAGTGAGCTGATCAACGCAGTGGATTGATAAAGGGGGACACAGCATGGAAGCCAGCGATGTACAAATGGAAGGGGGTGGTTGAACAAGGAAGAGATGTTTATACAGTTAATTAATAATATCCCCCTGCAAAGATATAATTTTACTAAAATAAATTCAACCGAGTGAGGTCCCTGTTGGGCTATAAGTTACTAAATAAAGTGAGTTAGTAAACAAGATAGTGATTGGATTAAACGTTTAACGTCGAATCAGCATTGCTTCAGCCATATGTCGGTGACAGCAAGTTTATCTACACAAACAAACAATAAATTCAATCTAAACGCGAATTTGTCATACACTTTTGGACAGTACCAGATTATTCACATGGTTTAAAAACACGGCACCCAAATGAAGGCCACCTCGGTACTATCTGAAACCCGACGTCCTGCACAATAATAATGCAGGATTTACATCATCACTTTCGTTTGTGGTGGTTGTACACAATACTAGCAGCAGTGACCTTGTTCAAAACACTGGCTGATGATAGTTACATTGATTATGATAGAATTGCGCCTTACAAGCGGACAATCATTTACGGTGCTTGAAAGTCCTGGGCAGAGGCTCTTTGGATCGTCACAGCCGCAAGTTTCATTTAAGTGTTACATGCCTAGGAAGGACGTCCCTCGTACATGGAGGTAGTGAATATTCCATGTCACTCTGCACAGTCTTTATCGTGATTTTCAATTATTTTCAGAATGTTCCACCTTCAGCGGAAACTTCACCTTGTACAAGTCCTCAGTCATCGTAGGCTACGACTTTCTAAGCCAAGGAGCGTCAACTTACGAATCCTGCCCTGAGTTCTGCATCAGCGACACCAGGTGTCAGTCGGCGGACTTGGACTTCGTTGGGAGAATCTGCTACCTGAATACCATCACTTGGCTTGAATCGCCCACATCTGCACTTGTTACCAACAGCCCAATATTTGACTTCTTCCAGCGGGAGTGCCTTTGGTGACTGAACTGAAGTTGATTTTGAACTGACAATTTGATATTCTAAAGGGGAACATTTGGTAAATTTGTAACTTTTCTTTTACATATGTATCGCTTCGTTACAAAAGTGTTACTTGTCTTAAGCACTGGAAGTCGTATTTTTGTGTGTGAATGCAATTGTTCAGCACCACCTGTTCAAGAATTATTACTTTTAAAAGTCTTTACTCGAAACATAATTCCTAAGAATATTAAATAATGGGGCTTTGTGTTTTACACTCAACCTTAAACAGAGCAAATGATAATAATCAATTACAGCCGAGCCCCAGGGGAACCAGGTACTCCTTTAGATACACGTTCCAAAATTTACATAAGTCTACGGTTTTTCTTGTCTTGATTGTTGTTTTGTTTGTCATCGTTTTAACTCTTATCACTTTTTTCTGGCTCGAAACAGTCAGCCTTTGACACATTCAGTTCATTATTTGCGGGACCAAAACCTGGTGTCACAGTTTCCTTTGACATCGTAGACATAAATTGCTTAGTATACAGTTTTATTGTTATTTGTCTAAAGACGCCCAAGTCCTCAACGGAGCCTGATCATGAGAATAAGGCTTCTAACGGAAATCAAAGTGATACTGTTTGTTTTGCCATGGCAATAACTGGTTTTCAATGACCCAATGTGACGAAAACACAGCCCACTTCATCTCATTTTAGACTTACTTTTAGAGATAGGTTGAGAGATAATCTACTATGATGACATCCAGAGCGCATCAGATCATAACCTTTGTGGTGAAGTGGAAGTTATTACCTTATTTGGTGTTGATGAAATAATCGGTGCAAGAACAATTATGGTTCATCGTCAAACAGAGCCAGATTAGAATTAATTTTACTGATCCTACACTGTTGTTCTTGAGATCAGAGTTTTGGAACCCTACGAGCTGATATTTTCCTAATTCTCACTGTTTCTGTGATTCCCGAATGTTGTTCTTCATAAACTTGCAATGCGTTAGTCGGTCATTCGCTGATTACTCTTCACCATATCGTGCTGGATGACAGGTTCCATGGCGGCGTTACGTCGTCAATGCCTTCCCTGCCACAGTGAGATATCTGGCATCAATCCCCACAGCTGCATTGTTGTTCTTGTTCATTACTGGTTCTTCAAGCTAGCTGTTTTTCGCATTTCTACTTATTTTTCCGACTCGAGACTGAGAAGCCACTGACTCTAGTTAATGCATGTATGACACCGTCTAATAACCGCAACGAATGAAAGATTTCGCATTTACGAAATATCTGCTGTTGGATGCTGCACGTGCGCACTAGTATCCTTTTGGATGTGTGGATACAAACACCTACACACTTTGTCTGATAGGGTCGCTTTCCAGATTGTTAATGAGTTTATTTTATTGATTCTTTCACATCTGTTTTGTATTTATTCCCCGTGAATTTATACCAGGCTGTCGTAGGCGCTGACGCTTGTACAGGGTTCACATCTTCGTAGACATACACTCTCTCTGGTCCTGGCTTTCCACCCCTCTGAGAAGCAATTGCTTCAGATACTTTTTCATACTTAAGCTGCCGATTATTTGTATGATTATTTTGTAGATATTCACTTTCAGCACTTAAATACTCAGAATGCTATTTTACAGTCATTTCGAAGTATAACGCACCTTATATATGGCAAAGTATGGTGTGTCATCACTGTTGTTGTTGAACTTGTGCTTTAAAACATCTCAATAAACAAATCAAGATGGAACAAATCTGATGGGTCTTTGCTTTGTGGTAGACAATCATTGTTCCACATCCATTTACACGGATCATTAATGCAACGTTCGTGACGCATAGGTAACGAATGGAACAAACCGCGCTGTGCGCCTGGGCCAGGGAAGCCACAAGTCAACACATTAGTGGCACAAAAGTCCGGTTATTTCTTCTTATGTCATGATTCCAGAGACATCCAGTATAATCCTTGTCATGTTATCAAACGATGTTTGGTCGAAATGATTTGGTTGGTGAACATCATTGGCCACCAAAATACAAAAACAATTCCAGTTTCGTGTTGGCTGCATGTATGCATGGTTCATCCATGAAGTTGGTGATGTCTTTTTAACCAAATACCTAAAGCTAATTTACAACAAATGCCATATTCCTTCCAGTTGTAGATGTCCTTTTAAACTGTCTGAGAAACCAGCAGTTATATGAATATTGAACGCAGCCATATAATTGGTACTTTATTTTGTAAAATGAAAGGTACAAATGATCCTGTTACCGAAGGTTAAGTGTTTCTTCAATACACTTATTCATACGCTGGATAGTATTCATTTGTAAATAAACTTATTATTATTATCATCATCAAAGCTCACCGTCACGGTTCAGATCCAAACTATGATATAAATGACAAAGGCTTCATCTGATGATAATATTTCGAAACCTTCCACCCATGGACAAGATGCCCTGGCTCTGCTATTGGTGGTATGTTCATATTGTTAACACGTTCATGAATCTCATTGACCTTTGATGAAGGGAATACATCAACCTCACTCGTGGTAGAAACCTATTCATTGGGACCAGGGTCAAATGCACTGGTTTGTTCTTGAATCAAAATCTTTACTCAACCGAACCTCTGTATCATTATACTTTGAATGAAGTTCTAATAATACTTTATCCAGAAAATATCTAGAAATTACAAGTTTTTTTTATGTTTTTATTTTGTTTTTATTTTTATTTATTTATTTATTATTTATTTGTATTTTTTATTTTATGTTATTTATTTATTTTTTTATTATTATCCTTTTTGGGGGGTGGGGTGCGGTGGGGGAACTATAGTTTTTGTTTTGTTTATGTTTTGGCTTTTGTTTTGTTTATGTCACACCAGTCTATTACTGTAGACAATGTTTCCGGGTCTACATACACAAATCCCAGTAAAATATCAGGCTGGAATAAAAAGACGTGGGGGTGTGATTTTAGAATGATACAGTCACTAGAGTTTGTGCAAACTTGTTATGTTGTGGAAGTGTCTCTTTGATCAAAATAACAGTACCATCTCTCTCAGTAAAATCACGAGGTTAAACTAACATAATATTACAATTTCATTACATCATTTCTTTTACAGATATTTGAATATTCTACAAGACTAATGATATAACTGAAACACTATTTCTTGAAATCAAAATGTGAAAGTCTGGACTGCACTGCTAAAATATTCCATTTTAGACTGGTGATCACTCTGTTACTGCTGGACGAGTCATATCACTTAGCTTCAAATTTTCATTAATTGTTTCAATGGTGTGTGAGCAAATTCAAAAATATATATCTAATATCATGTTTCAAATGTTTGACAAAGTAAGTGCAGAGACAACCGCCTGCTATGTCCTTTTTGGAGATAAATGTGGTTCTCGTTAATCATTCCTGGACAAGTATTCTCAAGAGATTTACCTTTGGTTGAAATTTGTCCAAATACTCCGGAGAATGGTGACTCTGTACGAAGCACAATCAAAAGAAAATGTCTGTGTGCCACAAGCTCATATTTATTGTATTGGACATATATTGGTAATGGTTGAGTTTATTGTTTGTTGCTATATTGGCACAAGCGATTACATCTGGTCTCTTCTGTGGGTATTCCGAGTAAATGAGCAGTAACCACGAATTCTCACTGTTTCTGTGATTCTGAAGTGTTGTTCTTCATAAACTTGCAATACGCTAGTCAGTCATTTTCCATGGCTACTCATCACCATATCGTGCTGGAGTCTCTGGATCTTTTGTTTCTTTCTGGCGATGACAGGTTCCGTGGCGGCGTTACTAGTAGGGATATTATATTAGTCTCTGGCTTGTCTCCTATAAAGTTATTGTGTACCATATCATATAAAGTTATTGTGTACCTTATAGCTGGATAGAACTTCACTAAGCAGCAAGGGGTGGTATTGGCCGCTTTTACGCCTGCAGACCCGTGATGATCTTGGGTCATAAAAGCTTGTCAACAACTATGCTTGTCGTAAAGGCGACTAACGGGATCGAGGTGGTCAGGCTCGCTGACTTGGTTGACACATGTCATCGGTTCCCAAGCAAGTATTAGCCAATCAGGAAACAGTACTGTGCTGGTTGAGCATTTTTTGTTTTTGGTTTGTGAAGCATTTAATCGATTGATATTTGTTTTGTAATCAGTGAAGTGTGACAAAGCTGACAACATCTGAACCAGAGATCGGAAGAATGGAGGCTTTCATGTGCATATCCCTGACAGAATGTGAAGCCACTGTGGAGCTGACGACGACTTCGTCTTTTGTTGTATTGTCACGTTGGTTGTCCATTAGTATGTAATAAGTTATGTAACGAATACAGATTGAGTGTGTTTGTGAAATGAGTGATTGAGTTAAAGTTTATAGTCACAGTGGCAGTATTGCAGTCGTATCGTGACTACAGATAGTAAAAGAATAAATAATACATTCATGATAAATGCACACATTTCAAAAACCTGTCGACAAAGGACAGTGAAACCAATTAACAGTATATCACATTATCAAGAATTAAAACTAGCATCTATGTCTGAAATAGGAGTTCAAATTAGGACAATACAATATAAGAAACGGGCTGAGTATTGCCAAATCTAAAAGTAGATCACCACACCAGGGACTGTTTTTGTGGAAAAGATGCAACTGGTCTCCACTGAACGTCCGTATTGTTGCAAATACATCCATTCGTCATCATATCCTAATCAATGCTTTACACTGCCTTTCATCAAAAACTGTCATACAGTACAGCCATTGGTTCACTGTGTTGATAACCTGAGCATTATACTATCCCATGGTTTCAGGAAAGTCGACGGATAACGAAAGAAATAGGTACACAATAAAATATCCCTGTTTATGACATCTGATAAAATCATTATTCCAACAGTGTTTAGAACTATAACATATTCTCTATTTACTCAGAGAATACACAGAAGAAAATATTTCGTGAACACTAGAATCACCACGCCATCGTCGACTGAGTCTGAATCAAGTCGTTGGCTAGAATGGAAAACACAAAACAATACTGAGACCGTTGGATTGATTTTTAAGGTGTTTTAGGGACCGTTCATAATTTACGACTAGGTGTGTTCCTGTTCACAGTGTGGGGGTGTGTGTGTGTGTTGTTAATCTGTGTGTGTG